AGGGAAAAACGGAGCTGAAAACAGCCTGCGTGTCCAGGGCGGGCACGTGATGGGCTCTGACTGGTTTCTACTGGGGGGATCTCCCTGGCGTTGGCTGGCAGGAATGGAGAGGAGTCTGGCCACTTTCACACCTGATTACACTCCCTCCCCCAGACCAGAAGGAAAGAGGCGTTTAGGCTGGTAAGGACCGTGTCTGCTGGCAGCGCTCACCTCGTTAGCCTTAGGAAATTGCGTGTCCCCCCACACACAACTGTTCCCGGTGACCTTCTTTCCTGACCCACTTCCAGCCCTGATGACCCCGCTCTGGGCTTCCCAAACCCCTTCATCCCATCCTTTCCAGCCATGCACTCCTCCCCTGAGCATCTCTGCCAACATACGTCTCAGCGCCCAGCCCCTGGGATGAGCTGTCGTGCAGAGGGCCCCTGAGCCCAGCGCTTTTTGGGGAGGGGGACATCCAAAACCTGTAGAGATTCAAAATAAGGAAATAAAGACCCCTGGATGCCTGGTGGTTGCTTCTGGATGGCGTGGGGTCGTTGGTGGGCTTAGGGGGGATGAGGGACCATCCCGTCTCTTTCCATTCCTGTATGGCCGTAGCATCGCCGCTGTGTTTCTATGCCGGGAAACAGGCTATGCTTATCGCAGGGGTCCAGTCTGCTCTGCTACCAGTCTGCTCCACTGGAAACCAGTGCCCTGGGGAAGCCGCCTGGCTGCCGTTTGAGGGCGAGGGTGGTTTTATAATGCCTGGCATGTGCATCGGCCAGGCTGAATTTTCAGGGAAAGAAGTGGGGGCTCGAGGACCTTTTCGCTAGGTGCAATGGTGCTGCAGATGGAAGCATCTGGAAGGGAGGGGAAGAGAGAGGGCAGGTTCTCAGGGGGTGAGGCAGGAGGGCAGAGGTAGGAGATGATGGGGTGGAGGGAGGAATGGGGTAGGGGTGACAGAGGGGGACCGCTGCCAACCTCACTGTCTCTTCCAGCACGTGGAGCCGCCCGATGCTGCCCGGACCTCCCTTGGGCAGGAAGGAGGGTGCCGCCGGCTCGCCCCATCATCCCGCCAGCCCCTGACCAGAGATGCGCCTGCAGAGCCAGCGCCCTACCCTGCGGTGCCCGCTGCCCCCCAACGCCAGCCCCCCACCCCGCACCCCTTCCGCTGCCCCCTGGCCTGCACCATGACAGGGGTCCTGCCGGTTTCCTGCGGAGGGGTGCGTGGCAGGTGGGGGGGCTTCAGCTGAGGAATGGCCTCGCTGGACCTGCCATACCGCTGTCCGCGCTGCGGGGAACACAAGCGTTTCCGGAGCCTCTCCTCCCTGCGAGCCCACCTGGAGTACAACCACACCTATGAGACCCTCTATGTCCTGTCCAAAACCAACAGCATCTGCGATGCCGCCGTCTTCCCCCTGGCATCCGACACCACCCTGCTGACCCCGGCGGTGCGCCGGGACTACTTCGAGAGCACGTCCTTCCAGGGCAAGGAGCAGCGCTTCACCTGCGACCTCATCCCGGCTGACGAGCTGGAGCCGGCCTCCTCACCGCGCTACGTGCACGAGATCGAGATCCCGCTGACCGAGATCTTCACCCGCAAGGCCATGAGCTCAGCCGGCACGCCCCCCGCCAGCGCTGCAGCCGCGGCCGCCGCGGTGGACGCCGTCTACGAGGAAGGCTTGACCCGCCTGAAGATCCGGGCTTTTGAGAAGCTGGAGGTGGACAAGCGGCTGGAGAAGCTGACGGAGGAGGTGGAGCAGAAGATCGCCTCCCAAGTGGGCCGGCTCCAGGTGGAGCTGGACCGGAAGAGCTCTGAGCTGGAGAAAGCCAAGCAGGAGAGCGTGAGGCTGAGCCGGGAGAAGCAGGAGCTGGAGGACCGGGCCACCGAGCTGTCCCGGCAGGTGGACGTCAGTGTGGAGATGCTGGCGTCTCTCAAGCAGGACTTGGTGCTGAAGGAGCAGGAGCTGACCCAGAAGCAACAGTGAGTCTCACCTCTGCCCCTCCGCTCAGCGGGGAGGGTGGAGGGTGCACGCTGCCCGGCATGCTACCCTCTTTGTCCCATGCGTGCATGTCCTTGCATCTGTGTAGCTGTGCATGCGCATCTGTGAACGTGCAGGTGCACGTGTGTTTCCATCGGTAGGCGCATGCCGCAGGATGCTGCCGGGGGGAGGGGGCTTGAGAGTGGTAATTTAATCAGGGTCCAAAGGGGATTGGGCAAATTGACATAGGACACGTATTAAACTGCCTAGTTTGGGCTGCAGTCTCCAAATGAGCACAGTGAATACTGGAAGATATCAGGAGAGAGCCATGGGTCAGTCTGGACAGGCCCTGAGTAAGTCCCCTTCCCCTCAGCCTCTGTGCCACCGACATGACAACGGGCTGGCAGGACCTGCGGTGTGACCCGGTGTGGCAGTGCCATGTGTACATGCACATGCATGTTGTGTAAGTGTGCAAGCTAGCCTCCGGAAACCCTGCCAGGGCCAGCACACCATCATCATGGGCCAGCACCTCGGCTCAGTAGAAGTCGCCCTGTTGGCTTCACGCATGGTTTGTGGGAGCCCTTCTGCTGGTTTATCTTGGACATTAGCTCCAATGCTGAAGCAGGAGATTGAATATCTCATGCAACTGTGGCTGTTTACTTATCCATGCAAACATCCAATCTTGTATGAGGACAGGGGCCCTGCTGAGGCCAGTTTAATCTGATCCGTGGACATTAGAGATGAGACCGGCCACCCCACCCATGTCCGATTGCCCAGTGCTGGGCTGTTCCCCCCAGCAGCTTGTCCAGGGCTCTGCCCTTTCTCGTTTTAAAGCGCTCCAAATGAAGCAGTTTCCTCTCTTTCATTGCCATCCTCATCTCATCTGAAATCCCTTCCCCTCCTGGGAGTGAAGACCCTTCCACCAATCAGGGTATCTAAGTTTCCCACTCATCGCCTATCCAAACCAGAATGGTTTCATGATAAATTATCACTTGAGTTGGAACAGGTAGAGGTCAGCCCAAGGCCTGCCAGGGGAGATGTGAGGGGCTGGTGTTGTACAGGGGAATATCACATTAGAGGGAGGTTACTTACGGAGTTCATCAAGTATCAGCCCCTAGGACAACTGTGTTTAATATTTTGGTTAATGGTATCTGTGCGGCTCAGTCAGTGAGGTGATCTACTTCTCTGCTGGGGTGTCCTTGCCGGGTACAGGCATTTCTCAGGTTGATAAGGTGGGTATCAGGAAGGTTGTATCGAAGGGCCTGACTGTAGACTACAGCTCTCTTGGTGTGTCTGGGGTGGTTGCTGGCTTTGTGGACACGTGTGGTGGTCCATCAGTTTTCTGTATACGGTGGTTTGTCGTGTGCCATCCCAGGTGTGCAATGTGGTATCCAGAAACTTGTTGTTGGTGGAGTGGTATGCAAAGCAAGTTTGGTGGAAGGGTAGGAGTTGCTGAATCTGTGGCGGAAGTCGACAAGCAAGTGCAGGCGCTCGGTCCAAATGATGAGAAGATCAGATATGCAGTGATACATGCTGGGATGATGTGGTTGGGGCTGGTCCTGCTTGGAGCAGGGGGTTGGACTAGATGTGACCTCCTGAGCTCCCCTCCTGCCCTCATTGCCTATGGGTCCAGTGTAGGTTTGATGCCATAGTTTTCTATAAATTCTTCTTCTAGCTGGCAAACCCCCTAACTTCTTGAGGGCTTGCTTGTCTCTGGGCTCCCCTTTGGGTCACTGCTAATAGAAAGCTGTGTCCTGTGCGTGGTCATGACACCCCCCTGGGAGGAGCAGCCATGTGTCTCGAGCTCAGCGAGAAGGTGTTGTTCTTCCTGCAAAGCTCAGAGGAACTGAGGGGGAAACAGCTGGATTCAGCTGAGCTCCCCCATTTGTCTGAGCTTGTCATATTGCATCTGCCCTGCTGTCCTTCCCCTGCCCAGGGGTTTTTCCAGCACTGCTGTGTTCCAAGTTTCCTCTCCTAGATTATTTCCCATCCCCCAGTATTTCCTATCCCTGGCTCTAACCCAAGGGTGGGCAAAATACAGCCCCCAGGTGCAGGGAGCAGCTCAGGTGTGGTGCATGCAGCCAGTCCCACCACTCCTGGGTGCAGAGGAGCTGGCTGCCTGGTGCAGCCTGCCCTATCCCTGCATGTGGCTCTCGGGCACTTGGGAGTGGTGCGGCAGCTGGACTTGGCTCCCCGGCAGCCCCTGCCGCCACTGCCTGGGGATAGGTGTGTGCCCCGCTGCCACCATTGGACCCTGGCTCTGCTGCCCAGACACCCCATACCCATCCACCCGGCACCTGCTGCCCCATAGAGACTGGCCCTGGACCCCCACGGGCAGAGCGCGCTCAGCTGGGTGGGTGGATGGGGCTACAGGCAGGTGGGGAACAATGTCTAGGAGCGGGATGGGTGGGCAGAGGCCAGGGCTGGGATCATGGGGCAGTGACTGTACTCAGGGCAGAGCCACAATCCACTCCTCCAGCTCATCCCTGTGCTGGGCACCAGTTCCCTGCCCTGCACTTCCCTGGGGAACCAGCACCCCTTGCAGGGATGAGCGGGGAGCGGATCGCAGCTCTGGCCCAGGCCCCAGCCCCACGCGGTCACCACCGCCCCTTCCCATCCACCCGGCTGAGCGTGCACTGCCTACCAGGGTCCGTGCAGACCCCGCCTGCTCCATCCAGCACCCCCGGCAGTGGGTGCCAGGTGGATGATCCTGGTGATGGATAGGATAAATTGGCATCTCACCACCCCACTAAGGGGTGTAAACAGGCCAGCACCACTTGCTTCCCATCCTCCGGCCCTCCAAACCACCCAAAGTGGTCCTGCAACCATAGTAATTGCCCACCCCTGCTATAACCTCTCCCAGATCTCAGCCTTCTTTGTCCTTGGCTCTCACTTCTCCCAGATCCCAGCTGGTGTAAATCAGCTTTACTTCCTGGGTGTCAGCAGCACAGCACGGATTTCCACCTGCAAAGGAGCAACCCCTGACATCTCTCCGTGTTTTCTCTTGGGCTTCGCTGGTCCTCATGCTGCCGCCAGATTCAGGGTGATCTGCAGATTGAACAAATGCGACGTCTGCGCTGACTTCCACCTCGTTAATGAGGATGTTAAATAGGACCAGACATCAGCCCCGACCAAACCCCCCCCATCCCTCCCTCGCATTGCTCCATTGCCACATAGCATTACCCTTTCTTTCAGGCCTCCCGGGCGGTTTTCCATCCACGCGACAGCACTCCCATTCCTGCTGGCTTTCATGAGCTTCTGGGGAAGGATTTGTGAGCCGCGCGGTGCAGCGTTTTACCCCAGATCTGAATCTGTCGTGTTGGCCGCCTTCCTGTCATCCGCTGCATTTGTAGTGCTGTCGAGCAGGTGGTCAGGGCTGTCGGGCTGGATTTACACCTCAAACCTGCTTGCGCTGTGTCTGTATTACCCGGCTACTTGGGACTTTCTTTTCTCCTTGCTGTGGACTTGTCAGGGTCCATTGCTTTCCCCCGTCGTCCAGGTTGTTCTCCTTTGCTTGTGACTTCTCACCTGGACTTGCTGGTAGGGCAGTGGGTTGTACTGCTCCCTCAGATGTGGGGTTGGTGGGTGTTCATGCTTTCTAGAGATTTCCTTCCCCTAATGTTCATCCTAATTGCTCCAGGTTTTCCATGGCATTGAGGAAAAGGGCCTGGCATCTCTGCCCATACCAAGTCATCCATCCCAGCACTCTCCCCGCTTACTGACAGCTCAGGTTTCCCCCAAGCGTCTCTGGATCCCGGCCACAGCTGCAAATGTTCTTCATGCTTCCTTTAATGCCCTGGGCTTGTCTTAACCTCTGCAGCTGTGGGTTTGGTTGGTTGTTTTTTCCTGGTATTTTTTTTTTCCACAAACTGAATGGACTCTTGTGTTTTCTCGCCATGCTTTGCCCCTTTTGCATTTGCACTCTGCCTGCATGTATACATGCATATGTGTATGTGTGCATGTGTGTGTGATCTGCACATTCAGGTCCTAAGTTGCTCCCATGGAAAGGTTCACGGGCCTTTTACCTAGCTGTTTTGAGCGGGGAACCTCTTCCCATGAGGTTGGTACAGCACCTAACACACAGGGACCTTGACCCGTGATGTCGGTGGCCTCTCTGCTTGCCAGTAGGCAGATACTACCAGTACAATGAACCGTCATCCTGCTCCCTCCTCCCAGACCCCTCCGCCTCTCCCCGTTGTTCTTGGACCCTCAAGTGCAAACACATGGGGCTTGTCAGAGACGTTTTCTCTCATGTTTAGAAGGGAAGCATCTCAGGGCAGGGACCACCCTTTTATTCAGCATTGGCCCGGCGGCGAACACAGCAGGTGATTGCACCTCCCCGTTACACAGAGGCACCAACCCCAGCAGCACGTTCATTTGAGGGGCAACAAGAGGTGCTTTGCCCAGCGGGGACAGAGGGCTCTTCCCCATCCTGTAGTACCTTCCCTGCCCCAGGCTTCGTCCTGCGGGTATCCCAAGCAGTCTGCTTTTCCAAGACTTTGTGGACATGTCTACACGTGCGCATTTGCTGTGCAGTAACCAAAATTACTCCGTGGCATGGGTGTGCATCTACACATGCACGCTTGTACTGCACAGTAAATATGGTGCTGATGTGAGCATAAATTTGATACCTGTATCATGCCGGTATCAAACTTACACCCGATTAGTTGCTGCTCAGTAGTGCACATGTAGATGCCTTACTGCGCAGTAACACTGTGTTTGTGAACTGACTTGGGACTAACTTTAGTGTTAAAGTGCTTTAATGCCTGCTTACTGCTCAGTAATTTACTGCGCAGTAAATTTAAGCCGGTGTAAATGCACATATAGACACGCTGTGTGGTGAGGAGCTTGTGAGGCAGATAGATGTTTCACAGTGATCTTTGCCCACCAAGAAGGCTTTGCTGGTTATGGAAACAAGCCCCAGGTTGAAGGCTGGATGCCTGTTTTTCTCTAAAATCTCCTTGTCAGTACCAAGGATGGATGCAGATCATTCTGAGTAGGT